AATATTATATATAAATAATATATTATTGTTAAGAAATGACATATCTTTACTTTAATCAATAAAGTATTGGTTATTTAAGAACTTCTCCATAAAAAAAATAGGAGAAGCAACCTATATGTTGGATATAGATATTTATATAGATAGATTTAGAAGGTTTTTTAGATTGTCCCAACCTATGCATATAGACTAGTTACTAAAATAGCTTAGCATGGAAGAACCTAAGATTGAATTCTTATCTATTTTGCATGGAATAACTCTCTACAAAAACATGTGTTCTAAGACACAGATTGATAGAGATATGATGGAAATGATATCCTATACTTAGCTATAAGATCCATCAATAGAGAAAATAAACTAAAAATTCAAAATTGTTTGAATTAAGATTTTTCAATAAAATATTAGGAAAATAGTGAATATTAGTCAATATATGTTTTATTTTAAATGGTAGTACTCTCTGAGTTGGAAGAGTTCTATCTAAGAAAGCACATTTGATTCTACAACTGAATAAGAGTACACCTCCCTATTTGAGGAAACAAAAAGGTTGTTTAGATCAATGAGTTCATCATTGAATTAGGTTGGTTCCTAGCATTGTTGATCAAGTTGCTATGTACTGTAATAACAATGGAATTATTGCATAAGCAAAGGAACTAATATATCATAAATGATCCAAATAAGTACTTAAAAAAATTCCATTTGATTTGATAAATCAATAAAATAAAGATGTAAAGATAGAGCAAATATCCACCGAAGAAAATCTAGAAGATCCTTTTACTAAGTCACTATCCATGCAGAAGCATTAATGCTATATGGAGCAATATGGTATTAGATACATGAGTGATTGACTTTTTAATGCAAGTAAAAGATTGTTAGATTAATATACATTGTAACCAACTGATTAGTTACACATGACATTATTATATTTATATAAATACATATTTATTATTAATAAAGAATTTATTTTTCTTTAATATTTATACGATATCATATTAATAAATTTGGAGTAAAGATAAATTTCATGTGATAAAAATACTTTGCAAAAAAATTTATAAAGTTATAATTATGAGATTCCTATTATAGTAAAGTATTGTTCCTAAAATATTTATGGTCAATGCTCTTTTAAATACTAGAAATTATTATATTCATATAAATACATATTTATTATCAATAAAGATTTAATTTGTCTTTAGTATTCATATAATATTAGATTAATGAATCTAGAGTAAAGATAAATTTCATGTGACAAAAATACTTGCAAATAAAATTATAAAGTTGTTACAATTATGAGATTTCTATTACATTAAAAAATTGTTCCTAAAATATTCTTGGTCAATGCTCTCTTAAATACTAGACATTCATTAGAGTTATAGAGACTAACATATATTATATTTTTTCTGTTATGAAAGGAAACAATTGTTCTCATCAATTGAGGTATAAGGGATGTCTAAAATTAATATATATGTGCTCGTCATCAGACATGTATTCTAAACTGACCTGTATGAGAATTATATACGAAAAAATCACATGTCTATAGAAAAGCTCACGTGATGGTTGTGTAAGTTATATTTTGATCTTATTACGTGTTATCTTAATCAAGATAATATAAGAATAAACATTGGGTATATCATGAAATATATAAAGGTAATTGAGCGATCAAGAGAGGATTCATCACTATAGGTGAATTAGAAAAAATATTCAATTTGTTTTCAAATAGTGTTGATTGAGAAATTCTTAGTCAAGATGAAATGAGATTTAAAAAAGGTTTCAATTTTTATTCAAACGATCAATGATTATTATATAAAAAATATACATGATTAATCATGGAAGACATACTTCATGTTTTAATGTTAAATCATAATATTATTGATGAAATGATATTAATTACACTAAGAAATTGATCACTAAAAGGTTGAATTAAACCACTAATGATTTATCTAATATTTTAGGGATCATGACATGTTGTTAAACAATACACATAATCTTTAAAAATTAATTAATTAATTGTTGAATTGATAATAAATTAAATTATTTAATGTATTTAATTTTATTTAATTATAATTATAATTTATATTTGAATCAACATATTAGAAATCTAATAGGTCACACATATTAAGAATTATTAGTTAGAAAATTAAATTGGGATGATTTAATTAAGTATAACTTAATTAAAATATATTTTAGAAATTAAGGACTATGATATAATTAATACAAAGATTATATTTCTAAACCTAGAAAAAGTAAGTAAGGACTTGATTAAGTTAATTTCTAAAATTATCCTGAATTAATATATGGATATTAAACAATAGGCAAATCGATATTTTGCCAATATATAAGGTTTTTCAAATTTTTTTATAAATAGTAAGTCATGCCTTTTATTATTTTTAAGGGTTATTGTGTATTAGACAAAAAAGAAAAAAATATAAGTCACAAAACATAGAACTAACATTATAGAAATAACAATTTTTCTCTTCTAAATAGAGATTTAGGAGTTTCTTATTAATGGTTGATGTAGATTATCATTGGAGCAGGATAATTGGACGAGTTATAGTTTATGACAACTCAACCTTTAAAAAAACTATTTAAAGTCAAAGAAGATCAGCTTTCAAGTAATAAATTCTTAAACAACTCTAGATATATCTAACATGATCTTAAGGACTCTTGAATTATTTTTTGTTTTGTTATTTATACTACATGTATGACATTCAGGAACCCAACAGTTGCAAGGCGTGTTGTGTTTTGGCTTGCAATTGTATATAATTCTATATTAAAAAAAATGTTTTTAAAAGAGTACATTGAGATAGTTTTTTTTTTTTTATATTCAAAATGCAAATCAATCTATGTTTAGAATATGTTGAGAATACATATGAAGCAAGGAGTTTGTTGTAATATCATGACAACTACAATTGAGGAAGTCTTTTCACAATTAAAAAAAATACTAACACTTAAATGGGTAAGTAAGTTGAGGATTATAACATTAGTAAAAATAAGAGTAGTCAATTTCAATTATCAACAAGGAAGTTAAGCATAAAAAGAAAGATTTATATTCATACAAATAAGCATGTAATTAGCTATTCTAATTTCTTTTGTATATAAACATTGCACTTTTTTTATGAATTTGAGTAGAAACTTGCCATTAAGATGCTTTTGGAATTGAGTCTCAAAGGACTCTAACCAACCTTTCTTTACTTTTGAATCTCAAAAAACTCTTAAAATTTGTTATGTAAATTAGAGTTTCAGTGAACTCTCACAGATTTTTCTTTATTTTTAAGAGTCTTAAAAGACTCTTTAAATTTTTTTTACTTTTAAAGTCTTAGGGAACTTTTATAAATTTGAGTTGAATCTTACCATTAAAAGGCTCCTGTGATTGAGTGTTAGAGGACTCTTGTAAACCTTTCGTAATTTTTTAATTTTAGAGGAATCTTACAAATCTCTTATATAATCAATCTTAGAGAACTCTTACAACTTATCTTTATTTTTTTAGTCTCAGAGGACTTTTATAATTTTTTATTTATTTTTTTAGTCTCAAAAGACTCTTGCAAATCTCTCATGATTGAGTTTTAGAGGACTCTCATAAATCTATCTCTATTTTTTAGTTTTAGAGGATTATTGCAAATCTTTATTGTGATCGTGTCTTAGAGAATTTATAATTTTTTTCTTTACCTTTTAAGTCTGAGGTGAATCTTAAAAATTTTTTATAATAAAGTCTTAAATGACTCTTACAAATCATTATTTATTCTTAAGTCTTAAAGAAATCCTGTAAATCTTATGTTTGAGTTTTAAATGATTCTCGTAATTTTTTTTTTATATAAGTTTTAGAGAATTCTTTCAAGTCTCTCAATTTTAGAAAACTCTTATAAATCTTTTAGTATTCTAGAGTTTTAGAAAGTATAGGCAAATCACAAGTTTGACTTAGACTTAATTAAAGTTTGACTTGTTGAACTTTGTAAAGGAGTAAAATATCATATTGAAACTAATTTTATGAATTATAAAATGCGGAAAATCAGAAAAAATGTATTATAAAATGTGATCTTTTGATTACCATAGTAATACGAGAAAAACAATTCATGGCGATATTTCTACTAAATTCACATCATACACAAAAAAGTTCTTTTAATTTTATATATTGATTAGTATATGAGTTTTTTTAATGTTTTTATTGTATTTTTTTTCACCTCCTAAAATTAAAATTAAGGAAGCCAGTTAAACAAAGATTGGTGCATTTATATATAAACAAAGTGTTTCTTTCTTTTATATATATATATATATATATATAAAAGAAAGAAACACAATCTTATAACTAGCTTCCAAAAGTTACAAGAAAATCTTTAAAATAACAGAGAAGAATGGCAACGATGATGCATTTTGCCCATGATATTCATGGCTAATTATGAGATATCGTGGTATCATTTTGATCCTCCGATGTCTTTTCTTGCATGTACATTGCACAGAATCCCCCTCCCAAATAAACAAGTCTCCACCGCCCAAATAAACAAGTCTTGTTAGCCTCGTTAAACATTCGAACACAAAATCACATCTTAGAGTCATTAAAAAAAAGATCCCAAGGCACAATTTGAGGTCGGACACATAGGACAGTTTCTGTTAAATCCCTCTTCAGTTAAGCAAAAGAATCATCGTATTTTGTTTCGACAACTCACCAATACTAACAAGCAACGTGGCAGCTCCTCGACCAGTTGTACCGACACCGATTTAGAAGAGCAGATAAACTGGGGGTGGCCGACAAGTCGACAACGTGATGCTCTGGACAGCAACACCTCCTCTTTATCATACGTCCACGTGTCCCCCTTTAAACGGCCCGGATTCTCTAACCTTCCGTACGGTTGAAATCCCAATAAAACCCCATTTAACACCAAACACCCCCGGTCCATGTTGGGTGGTTTCGAGATTTCACACATTTGGGAACAACTTATGCAAATTTAGATGTGGTACAGGGTTAATTTCGGCAATAGAAATTAAAATAAATAAATAAATAAATAAAAGAGATGTAGAGGAGAAGATTTGGAAGGGGATATTTGTCAGAAGAGTTCAGGTCTCGCTCTGAGCTCTCTTTCTCTCACAATCGGTTCTAATTTGACCGGTTTTCTGAAAGCCACAGTTGAAAAGTCGATGCCATGCGGCAGAACACTCCATTTTTTTCAACCTTTCTTTGAATTTCCATAGAAAAATCTTGACAAAACCCAAAAAGAAAAAAGTGAAAATTCTAACGTTTGTTTGTCTACTGGAGCTAGCGGTGGCTAAGGAGCTTGAGAAATGCAAGAAATCCACTCAATTGGTGGCGGAGGCAGGTTATTTAGCGGTGGAGGTGGGGGTGACAGGCGACTACGGCCACACCACCACCAGAACCACCAAGCATTAAAGTGCCCACGATGTGACTCGCTGAACACGAAATTCTGTTACTACAACAACTACAATCTCTCTCAGCCTCGTCACTTCTGTAAGAGTTGCCGGCGTTACTGGACTAAAGGCGGTGTCCTCCGCAACGTTCCTGTTGGCGGTGGATGCCGCAAGACCAAGCGGTCTAAGCTTAAACAAAACACACCAAGTACAACTTCTGATACAATTACAACCTCCAGTACTAGACCGCAGGAGCTACAGGAAAAACATCAGCGACGAGATCATGTATCCTCTAACTCTCATTCTAGTAGTGAGAGTTCGAGTCTTACGGCTACAAATAATACGAATGCAAATACAGCAGTGGAAGCAGTGTCTGCGCTATCTGTAAACTCTGTTTCCAATAATTTATTAAATGGTATTGTTGAGTCAAAAAGCTTTCCACGTGGGGATATGAATCCCAGTTTCGAACCTGCTTTGCTCGAGCAAGGATCGGACTGTGGGATTTTCTCGGAGATTGGGAGTTTCACAAGCTTGATCACATCGACGAACGACTTGTCGTTTGGATTTAGCAACACAACGAACCAACAGCAGCAACAAGGGCTTGAGCATCATGTGCAGAACAATCAGAACCAGCAGCAGTGGCAAAATCAGCATCAGGAGATGACAGGAGGGTTGATTGATCAGACGATTCACGCTGAGTTATCAGCTTTGCCGAGTAGTAGTAGATCAACAGAGAATACCGGTGGGGGATTTGGAGCGTTGGATTGGCAGTTAGGGAGTGGAGATCAAGCTGGTGGGTTTTTTTATCTTCCTAATACCGTTGATCAAGCTTACTGGAGTCAGAGCCAATGGAATGATATGACTGCTTACCTCCCGTAAATCCTCTTACTTTGTTAACTTCAAATTACAGAAGATTAATAAAAATAAATCTCAAAGATTCAACAAAATGGAAAATATGATATGACTGCTTTCCCTTATGTATTTTTTTTTTCTCATATGAATCTTCTTCTTCTTCTTCTTCTTCTTCTTTTTTTTTATTTTTTTTTATGGAGTATATTTAGTGATACGGGGAGGTGTCTGGGTTTGATCTTGGGTGTTTATGTACAACAACTAACTTTCATGTTAGTGCGCGGCCCCCCCCGCCCAGATTTCTGATGTTTCTGGGACTATAATTAGTGAGATTAGAGTGTTTTGTTTTGTTGGTTTGATCGCTTGCCCGCCCCTTCTCCGTAAGGGAACTAATTATTATTAATTAATGCTTGTTAGTGCTTTAATACAAAAGTCAACCTAAAAAACACTCACTTGAGGACTTTGCCACGTCACTGCTGTCACAGATAATGGTTGCGATAAATGATGGACTAATTACTAATTGCATGAGATCAATTGTGTACGGTCCAAGCGGGGTGTAGACCGTGGTGGGGTCCACGAGGGTAGTGACCAGTCCCATGCGTGATCATGACTCCACGTGGCGAGGATCCTTAATGCTTGTTTCCACGTGGGTTCACATCATTGGATGATACTTCTGACGAGAAAAGGATAGTCGGTTTGTCCTCGCTCTCTCTCTAACCTCTATCACTCAAACGATCCATCAAGGACTCTACTACAGAATGGGTAGAATATTAATTGCGACGGTGAAATGTGAATATATATATATATATAGATGGTGAAAGACGTGGGTGGCTGATATGGGACCTAGATTAGGTGGGTGGGGGTGGAGTGGGGTTTAGCTAGTAACGGTGAATATGGGGGGCCAAGAGGCATGTGCAGAAGTGGTCTCCCATATGAGACAGTCACGCATTGTATCTCTTAGATATATATATATATTTTTTAAAGAAATAAGTTTTTATAATATATTTTTATAAAAAAATATTATATAAAAATTCAAAAAATTCATTCACTTATTTTATTAAATAATTAAATAATTATTTTTATCGAACTCAATCCATACCCAGACAAAGTTCATTATTAAATATATTATCGGGGTCATTAACTTGATTATGTTGAATAATTTTTTATTTAACATAAATATTTATAAAATTATAAAATAATAAAATATCAAAATGATTAAAAAATCAAACCAAAATAAATTATATTATCTAATTAATAATAATAAAAATATTAGGTGATGAAATTAAAAAAAATAATTTAAATGAATAACAAAAATAAAAAAGATATAATCTCTTAGCTATGAAGGCTCAAAACTCATGGGCCTCTAGAAAAAAACTCAAGTGACATATCTATAACCTTTAACAATAGAAATTGATTCTAAAACCAATAATCAACTCGAAATCAAAAGTTTTTTTTTTTCAGGTTTATATCTATTTTTTCATGCAAGTTTAATGAAAAACAAATACCTCCTATCAAAATGAACTCATTACTCATTAACACCAAAATCACTCAATTTCATAGTACTCTCTTTACCATCAAAATTTAACAACTTTCTCTCTCCACTCTCAAATTAAAAACCAAAAAAATAAATAAATAAAGTTTGAGATCAAAATTGAATGTCATAAATATTTAGGGACTTGAAGTATATAATTTAAAAATTAGAGAACCAAAGTGTATGTTTAACCCCAAATTTAGAAAAACTTTTTTTTTATTGTGTTTTTTTTATCTTAACCCCCCATCTTTTAATCTTTACCTTCCTTAATAAATGTGCTTCAATTGGCCATAAATTTAGGCTTATAAAGTTGTGATAAGCAAAAAAAAGACATAAAAAGATAAATCACTATAGCGATACAAAATAATTTGTTCGTTAGTGAATAACGGCATAAAAAATGATATTTTTTCTATGTCTTTTGGAGTGTTTCTTAATGTTAAAGTCTAATGTTTGGAAGAGACAAAATGATGAAAGAAGTTTGTAGCATGAAGTAGGAAACTGCAAAACTTGAATAAGAAATTTTATAAGAGAATGATTAAAGCTATTAAAGATATCAATGCTAAATTAGATGTCAAAATAAAAAAAAAACAATGAAGTGATTTTTTATTTTAATTATACTATGTTAGAGATAATGAATAATATTTTCAAACAAGTGTCGATTAAAGTTAATAACCATTTAGATAAGAAAGTGAAAAAACAATTCATATTATACGAGGAATGAAAAGAATTTTGTTGGCCAAAGTTGTTAAGTGCTAAAAATAATCCTTTATTTGAACCAAGAATTAATTAAGGGAAGCAGAGAAAGCTAGGAGTTCAAAAAATAAATTTATTAATTATGAGAGTTCATCACCAAAAGACATAAATGAAAGAATAATTATAACCTATAAATGAATGTACTTCTAAGTAAAGTTGATTTGAAAATTATTCTAAAGATAATGGAGCAAGCTTATGAACCAAAAGTTCAACAAATACATAGACCAACATATAAAAGACTATATATATAAATTGCATTAATAAGATATACTCTTATCCTAATAATTTTAAATTTCTAAACTTTGCTTTGTTTAATGGCCAAGGGAATATATATATATATATATATATATATATAAACATACAAACTCTAAAGATTTGTCAATGTAAGGAAGCATCCAATTCTAACTTTTGAAATTAAGGTTATTTTCAAATTCGTTGATTGAAGATGCTTTTACTTGGTATATAAAATTACAACTAAATTTAGTTTAGAGTTAGAATGATATGTAGACTGTATTCCAAGCTCACTTCTCTAGAAAAAAAAATAGAATTTGCATCGGTTGATTTAAAAAAATTAAAGCAATAACCTTGAGAAACTATTAAACAATATTTAAACAGGCTCATGAAAGTAAGGAGAAAATGTTGGGCTAGAATTAGAAAAATAATTTATTATGATTGCTTAATAAGAATTACAATTAGAGTTAGAAAAATAAGTTTGAAGGAATGTAGTTCAAATCAAGTTACAAATGTTATCAGATATTCATGATTGTAACTTATGTTAGCAATAAATCAAGTTCCTTTCATAACACAAGTGTCGATTATACCATACTGTTGGGTTATGAAAGTGCCAAGTATTTGTTGTACCAAGTGTTATACAATACAAATATAGATTAACCATTTAATAAGCAAAGTATTAAAAGTGAACAAGATAACAAATACAAAACATGTTAGTATCAAATATTAAGGTCTATGTTGAGTTTACACTATACTTATTCTTACACCATTAGTGTACCCTTTTCACCTTAACATAATAAACTTAACTAAACATAATCAAAGAGAGAAACATAAATAAACAAAATAAGAATATAAATAAGATAAAATTTAACTAAGTAAAGAAAATGAAATGAGAAGCATAAATAAGATATTATATAAGTAAAATTTAAGCATTATAATAAAGTGAGCAAAAACATGATCTTGATATGAAAACCAAGATGCCTAAATACATGGTGAATGCCTTCTTTTATAAGCCAAAATTGGAAACTATTGATTTGTTGACTAATTATTGCATGGGTGACCACATCTTAACTTGGTGACAATCCTTATCTTATTGTTTGAATAAAACGTCATCGTTAACATCAGATTTTGAATAGACTTGATTCATGAAAGTTCTAGAAAATTATCTTAGCTTTCCAAAAAAAATAAAAAAATTAAAATCATTTAAATTTCTAGAACTCGAGATATGGGTTGAATAATAAATAATGTTTGGGTTGTAGGACAAATTCAGATTCCATTGTTGCTAAGATTTGAACTTCTAAATAACAAAATTAAATCTTATATTTTCATGAATGTTTTAGGCCTATGTCTTAACTTTGTAGCCATATAAACCAAATTGAAATCCAAGATCTACAACTTCAGATATGACCATATGACTGAACCATATTACGGTTTGGACTGAACCAATATTTCTTTTCTAAGCTTCACCCTCTTTTTGTCTTCTCAATTTCAGTAGTTAAACTCATCAATCAATCCTTTGATTTATGTGATCGACTTGTATTTAAGATAGACATTTATCATAAATTAAAGGTATCTTATAGTATTAGACTTATTATTATAAAACATGCTTTAATTAAGGAGTTATTAATATTTCAAGTGCAAAATGCTGATATAAAACTTTGATAAAAATGCACTTTTAAGTACTAATCAGTGACGATTCTTCTTCTTCTTCTCCCTTATTTTCTCTCTCTCTCTCTCTTCTTCTTTATTGTTCTCTAATTAGTATTTAAAAGTAATTTTTTATCAAGGTTTTATATCATCATGTTGCACTTGAAGTATCAATAACTTCTTAACTAAAGCATGTTTTATAATAACATATCTAATAATATAAGATACCTTTAATTTATGGTAAATGTTCATTTTAAATGCAGGCCTATTACATAAATAAAAGGATTGATTGATGAGTTTAAGAATTAAAATTGAAAGGACAAAGAGATGGCCAAACTTAGAAAAGAGATGTTGGTGCAGTCCAAACCAGAACATTGTTTGGTGATTGGGTCATATTTATAGCTATAGATCTCAAATTTAGGTCTACTTTATATGGATGAAAAGGTAAGACATAGGCCTACAACTTTCATATGGAGCCCAAGATTTAATAAAGCCATTTTCAAGTCCAAATTGTAATAACAATAAAGAAGTTTGAATTTGTCCAGCAACCCGAACACTGTTCAGTGTTTGGCCCATATTTGAAGTTTTAGAAGTCTGAATAACCTCTATTTTTTTTTCTTGGAAAGTTGTGACAATTTTCTACAACTTTCATATTTTTAAATGGTTGCAATTCTGACTTATCAATGATGTTTTGGGTAGACAAAAGAAGATAAGGATTGTCATCAAGTCAAGAGTTGGCCACCCACTTATCAATTAGTCATTAAATCTATAGTTCCTAATTTTGACCTATAAAAGGAGAAATTTTCCATGCATTTAGGTATCTTGGTCTTCGTATAAAGATCATGCTTTTGCTTTCTCTCTTTGTATTTTTGTAATGCTTAAGTTTTATTTTCATTAATATCTTGTTTATGCCTTTCATTTCCTTTCCTTTACTTAGTTAACTTTTAT